TTATGCTACTAATAAATCAGAAGTCTTCATTTTAGTCACTTCAAAATTTTATTTTGTTTTACATTTGACTTACTCTCCACACATTTATGTTGATTGTAAAACTATGTTTGGAAAATGTTGGTCCCGATTTTCCTGTTCATTGCCAGTAAATGAAAAGGCAACCTGTTTATTGTAAATATCCTTAATATATCTACATTCAGATTATAATATACATATATTATACCACATACACGTATATTTATATATGAAGTTGATCAGATGTATAACTTTCTACATGACAGAAATCTACTATATTGTCAGACAAACAGATACACAGACACTAAAATCAAATTACAGTAACACCTATTTCTTTCTGTATGAAAAGAAGCAGGTTGTCTTTTCATAATGTAGACATATTTAATCAGTATGTAACTCTTGCATTTTTGTTTTTAGCATGAAATTCAATTATCAAAATGGATAAAAAGAGGCTTATGCTTAAAAGATTTTATATTTATAGTGAAGTGGCACTGGAAATATGAAAATCTGAAGCAAATTTACAAATACAGTATGCGGCAGAAATACCTCCCACATTTAAAACTGTCACCTGTGTGATGATAATGAAATTAGCTAAGTGACAATGATATGTTCATCTAGCTAATGTCTTACAATTTTATTTTCAAATAGCATCAGTTACCATCATGGCATGGACTGGTGCATACCATGCATTTGCTGCTGAAACTTTTTTTAAGACTGGTGAGTCTGTAATTGCAACACAGAGAGCTTTTTGTGCTTATTTCATGTTACTGTTGATGCTGTTCTGGATAGAAAATCGATACTGCTATGGATTTAAAATTTCAGAGCCACAGGTTCTTTGCTTAAAAGAAACCCACTTGGAAGACCTTGAACTTCATGATAATGAAAAATTTTAGTAATCATCTACAAAAGTGTACGGCAAATAGAGACCACCATTTGTTGGATGTCATTTGTAAAACCAAATGAATAAAAACTGTAGCCCTTTGTTTAAACAACAGAGAAATAATTTTTTTAATAGCAGTTACTTTGGTCTTTTTGTCAACCTTTAAAATGTCGGAGCTATTTGTGTCGCACCCTGAACTACTCATAAAAAAAGTTGACAAAAAGAGCTACAGTTTTTAATCATTTTGATTTTAAAACTGAAAATCCTCGAAAGTAACCTTGGTCTTTTTGTCAACTTTTAAAATGTAGGAGGTATTTTTGCCATTCTCTGTATTAGTAATTATTAACAACGAAAGTTGAAATTTTTTAAGAGATCCTGAAAGCATAAAGACAATGTTAATGAATCTTCTTTATATTTTTTCCATAATTTAAACTTTCAAAATAAATATTTTAATACAAAATTGTTATAAAAAATATTAGTTTTTTTTTACCTGTAACTTATCTCAAATATTAAATGCACATATCTGATGGTCTTTTAATTGGCTGTTCATGAATATATTGACTTATATATTCAAGTTGAGTCCAAGTTTATGCTAAAAATCTTATAAACATTATAAGAATTAAGGCAAAAAAACCTGCAATTTGAATTTCATAAAATGTTAAATAAAAAAGGGTTATTTATGTAGGATTTTTCTTTGTGGTCATAGTTCTCCCCAACGTCTTGTCTTTTGTTGTTCTATGTAACTTTTATGGTTGGAAGTAAATTAGCCTGATGGAGACATTTGAGTAAAAACAGCCAATAGGATAGATAGATAGATAGATAGATAGATAGATAGAACTGGCCTCCAAGGTCATTGGAGGTCACCACAGGTTAATTTTTTAATTAAAATAGCATGTTTTAAACAAAAAAATCTTAAAGAGCTAAATATACTTGATTGTGTTTTATGTTTTTGTTTATTTTAATCATTTCACCCCAAACAAGGCAATAAAGCCACTAAGACACAAAGGTTACTGAGTGTGAAAGAATAAGAAAAAGGAAAAATGTAACAAATTGTGTGTGAACAATAGAAAAGTAATCAAGAACATTTTATTTATTAGATTGTTTGTTTACAAGAATAATTTTACAACATTCTAAAAATGAATACCAATTTACCAATTTATAAAGAAATAGATATGAAAACAATTTTTATTTATAAATTGATAAACATTTCCTAAAATTATTAAAATATGGAAACCAACTATTGGGAAATCCTTATTATTTACCATTTTATAAAGTTTGAATTGATTGGCAATTAGTCAAAGTTTTATCAACCATTCCAATAAATAATATAATTAATAATCAATGTTTAATATTTTTGTTTTGAATTCTCAAGAACAAAAAAAATGCATAAATTTCCTTTCATTCCTTTATTACAATTCTAACCATTGTTTTTTAAAAACAATAAAAATTTCTGAGGAGTGAAGGTAGTTATAATAATAGTGGTGTTAAGAGGAAAACTGTCCTTTTAACACTTTGGTCTAAGTTTGTCTGTTGTTTTAGTATTGGATCCCCAAACAACCTTTTCATAATCATTCTTCAATGGTGGAAACACTAATGATATCTACCCAGAAGCCCTGTCACCTGCTAGAGCTTTTTTATTCATTTATTTTGTTTTGTACAACAGAATTTGTTTTTCAATAAAAGCTATTCATTCATGTGTAAATTATGATTTTTTCATGTGTTAAATTATGTAAGACGAAACATGTTAAAAATTATTTTTATTTTTTTATTGTTATATTTAAAGTTATTTTTCCAAGGCAACTTCAGATATCGCAGTTAGCATATGCAGGTATAGATATAGGCAGAGATAAAAACAAAAATACATCCACACATACATAAATGCATACATACTTGCACATGTTGGTAGATAGATAGATAGATAGATAGATAGATAGATAGATAGATAAACAGGTAGATAGATAAATAGATAGGTAGAAATGAAATTAGATATGAACAGACTGAAAAATAGATAGACAGATAGGTATCCATTTATCTCATGAGATAATGGTAGTGCCCTGTTTGACCAAAATTCACTTCTTTTGTAAGCAGCATCTTAAGTAGCTTAATACTCTGACCTTTGTATGGCATTCTCTTCTGCAGGTGTGGCAGATGAAGCTGGAATGTGGAATGAAGGTTTGAGATTGCTGTTTCTGCTTCCTGTGATGTCTTCTGATTTCCACCAAATGGTTTCACCTTTTCCCACCCTTCAAGACTCCATGTTGAACAGCATTATGCTAGCCAGTGCAATTATCTGCTACCTGTTCCCAGGCATCAGAGAACATGCCTGTGACTTTCAGGTCTCTCTGGCAGACGTTCTTGAAGCATAATGCAGAGCAGTCTATCTATTATTATTATTATCATTATTATTATTATTATTAATAATCAGAGAAAGTATTAATTAAAAAATAACAATGATGAGGATAGTGAAATCTTACAATATCAACATACAATCCAGTATGAAATGAAAAGGTGTATTTATGGAAAAAGTAGTAATAAACTGGTGATGATGTCTTAACAATTTACTGTCGAGTTGTTTAGAAGTAACTGTAAGTTCTATGTTAACAGTTTCTTTTCTCACACTTCTTGCTTGTGGAACTCTCTTTTGGATCCATGCTTTCCATCCAACTTTGATCTTCAAAAATTTAAATTCAATGTCAATCGCTATCTACTGTCCTCCTGATTACTTTTCTTTTTTTCTCGCTTCTTACTAAGGTTTTTGGTTTTTAATTCTTTCACACCCAGTAACCCCTTGTGTCTTTACTGTCTTCCATGAAGTGAAATTGATTAAAAAAAAAAATTCTATGTGGAACTTCCTCCTTACTAGTGGAATATGAAGAGAATAAAGATGATCCAGGCCGATGTATGTGATATGGTAGGATTTAGTTGCAAAGGTCAGGGACTGGTGAATCTAAGGAATATAGTTCATCAGAACATTTGCCATAGAAATAGCTGAAGAGTAGTGAGAAGTTTGAGATGTTTTACCCATGGGAAAGGAGCTATAGGGTAGAAGAAATTCATCATTCACAAGGCTGCGTAGATGCTTATGAAATCAAGACAGTTAAGGGAGATCAAGGCAGCTCCAGCCCAGATATGGCAGGAATGCCCCATTTTTGACCTCATCAGGATTCTGTAAAGATAGATCATTGATGGAGGAATCAATTACTTAATGTAGAGCTACAAGAGATTGCAATCAAGGAGACTCATTGAGTTTCAGGTTTGATCTTGTAAATGTTCTTGAAACATAGTACAGGGTGCTCTACCTACTATTAATAATAATAATAATAATAATAATGATAATTACTTGAAATCAAAATCTCAAAAATGTGGCACATGAGAATATCAGCAATCCCTGTTGTAGTTAGAGCCCTCAGATTGATTGGAAAAGATTCCAATAGACTTATTTAAGGTATTTCTGGCGGCCCATTCCTTTTTTTGAAATACAAAAAATTGTTCTCATGAGTACAGCCCACACCTTACAAAGGACATTATCTATGTAAAATATGTGTGTTGCGTTTTGAAAAAGAAGTAAAGTACGTAAAAGAAGCAAATGCTGACAGAAAACAGAAAAGAAAACTGAAAAATTCTCTAAATTTGTATCAACCATAATTTTGGATTGTTGTTTTAAAAAAGAATACACCAAGATTTATCTCAATATAGTGGGTCCGTTTGAAAAGAAATATTTCAAGCACTAGTGAATTTGTCAACTATCTCAAAATGTTGACAATTAAATAAGTAAGCGTACTTTTTTTGAAAGAAACTGTACTGTTTTTAACTTTATGAACCAAAAGAAAATTGTTTGTCTTTTTTAGAATACCTTATTTGGTCTAAAGGGAACACTTAAGATACACAAAAGGAAAAAATTGAGCAATATTATTTTTGTTTGCAATTTTCTTTAATATATAAGATCAGTCCAAATATTAATCAGCTTAGTATCAACTTATTAATGAATTGTTGAAGTTCTTAATCATAGACTATTTAAGGCTATGAGCCAGGCCATATTGAAGAGTACTGAAGAGGTACTGGCTACTCTACAACAATTTTTATGAATTTCAACTGAAAACAGTAC